ATACGATTTGAGCGATTGTCAATAGTATTTTTTGTGGACAACTTTTTAACCAGAAATAATCGGCTAACATTTACATAATAATACCTTTTTTTGAAAAGTAGTAAATTTAACTCTGATTCATCATTAAAGGTAACATTCTCTGTTATCGGCTCACCACCCAAAGATGTCCACCCCTGATAACATCGTTTATATCACAGTTATACAACTATGGTTTACATTATCATATTATATCTCGTATGCTAATCTCGAAATAATTAAGATAAAAGATTTAATATGCTCACGATACTTCTTAGGTTCGAGGCAATTTATTAGTGACTGACGAAGTGATACCAAATCATTATAAGTAAGAACATATTATTATCAAAACAATTTTTTTTCATCAATTAAGAAACAAACATTTTCGTTCGAGTTTCTTAAAAATAGGAACTCTTTCCCGTTGCAATATTTAAAAAATAATGCATTTAAAGCTCCGTTCTTATAAAAGAAACGTGTTCCAGGAAACACTGAAATAAATACGTGCTTTGTTTGATTGTGTAATATAACAATTTATTAAATAGCTAATTACTTATAAAGTGTGAATATCAAACACAAACCCTGTTGCTTAGTGTATTTAAATTATTTTCGATAATTTTTATTTGTAATTAACTTCAGTGTTTTTAAACAAATATGAATTCTTCAAAATATTTTAAGCATTTATCGACCAAGATTATGTTTAATCTTAAGAATTTCTAATATTCGATTGATTATTGTGCAATTGAGCAGTAAGATACACAGACCTAATACAACATTTTAAAAATAATACATTTTCCTAAAATCGTTATCAAATGTATTATTTTTATAGTTTCAGACTTTTATATGACTATGTTGTACACTTTTTATTGTTTTAATAGTATGTTAAATAAAATGTGTCAAAGAATAGTCTTTACATAATATGTAAGATAAATATATGGAATTTATATTATGAATTCCGTATTATAAAAAAAAAACACATACATTCAACCGACGGAGTGAAACTTTTATAATTTTCTCGTGTTCTACATCGATGCTCTCACCAATTTACACTCAAATGATATCCGATTATTCTCTATACGTGTGTACTCGTACGGTCGACAATAATAAAACTTTAATTCAAAAACTTTATAAAAATGAATTAAAGTGATTGCATTTATTCATATTCATTTACATATATATATTTCATAGGTTATCTGGCAAGTTTAGAAAGTTTCGATTATTAGTGTTAGCTATATACTGTAAACTTAATTAATAATGTTCCGTTCAGTATAAATATACTGTATGGTTCAATGATTTTATTTATTATCGTAATCATGTGTGTTTGTGTTCCCTATACAAATTAAGATTTTCAAAACTTAAATTGTTTATTGTACATGGTTAAGTGTGTTATCAGATTTTCTAACTCGAAAGAAAACCTGGTCATACTTCCATTTCATTTCCAAAATATAATATTTATTTTCTCAAGAAAATTCATTTTTTTTTTTTCCGTTACGTTTACATTGGCTGGAATTTAATTTCGAAAAGGAAAAAAAAATCTCGAATAATCGAAAAATGACGTTTCCATTAAGACGTATATTACAAAGAATAACGTAACGTTTCAACGAGCGTTAAAAGGTGTCGGCTGGTCCACAACGAGCCGTTTACTAGGTAATATAATGGAACTAATGTGTCTCGGGCTGGTGATATATGTCCGGCCACCGATTGCCATTTGGTAGACATTCTTTTTTTCTGCTGCTGCTGCTGGCCGGTAAAAGGAAATATATATATATATATATATATAGTTTTTATTTTTAAAAACAAAAATAAATATATATATATACAAGAAATATTGCGAAACAACGATGGCGACAATGCGGCGGCGGTGGAGATAGAGGTAATTTTGAAGAAGAGAAATTATGTGTCACTACAAGATAAATCGGATGCGAAGGCCGAAAGGTCCGTTTGGTAACAAATCGCCGTTGAAAGTGACTATCTTGTCAACGGGGCACATGGTGTGCTCCAACAGTGGGTTGTTATACAGAGAACAGGCTCGACCGAGGAGAAAACGTATAATACGCGCGCGCGCGCGCGCGCACACACAATTTTGTTAAAAACATAAGAGATAGACAAAAAGCATTTTTAAAATACTGTCTCCCGCGTGCAACAGACCATTATTCAAATAATAATCCCTTAGGGCATCGTTGGCAGCTTTCCCGAGAAAAATTAACGATAAACATTGTACGATAAACAACGGCTGCGTCTTTGTTAGTAACGACGCGCGTACAAGGTGTACGCGTGTCCGTACCTACGTCACGAGCACACAAGCTCGCCTACCTTTTGAACAATGCACACATGTTACACGTGTTAAAGTTTGGACAAAACGTTCAACAAGTAACACGGTCAGCTTTCTACTTAAAAAAAAAAAATCGACTTACTTTCTTTGAGCCTGCTCCATCTGTTGTCTGTTATTACCAAATCAACATCATAGTTTAAAACACGATAAGTGCAGTGAGATGATGGTAGGTGCACAGCTTTGTCAATAAGCGTTGTAGTCCTTAAGTCTCGTTTCTTCGTACATTTATGTATTATTTACGTCTTGGTATACGCTGAAATATTAGATAATATTATATATATAATATTTACACGTTGTACTTTTATAGTAAATGCATTCCATATATTATTACCTACACCGCAGTCGCGGGGGCACCGCGTGTATATAAGTCTTCTGAAATATAGACAAGATCTGAATTATAAAAAACCAAAAATATGAAGAAAAAAAAACACCCTCGCATACACATTAATTTTGATAGTTATCGGTCTACCTGTTTTCAGTATTTATAGTTGTTATTAATGCTGTTCCGTCTACTATCTAATATCCGGTCTCCGTAATCCCTTTCCATATTATAACGCTTCGGAACACAGAACTACGTAACAGTTAATTTTGAAATTAACTTATTTATGAGCACAACAAAGTATAAAATATATATATATATATATACATACGATACAGGTTAGCACGAGTTCGGTAAAGTTTAGATCACTTGAGTCAAACTGTACATAATATATTCGCACTATTCACAGATAATGTAAATACACTTAGCTCTGCCCTAATGAAGTATGTACATTCGATAACATTTTTTTACGTCAAGGGTTCACTGTAGTATTATAATATTATCCATTCGGCTAACGGATAAACACGCGCGTGATTCTAGGTTGCTGAAGGCAAAAATCGTTGTAAACACTTGTATACACGATTTCGAACAACTAAATGCAGTCAACCGACTGAAAACGTGGATTTCGTGTTACCCATACACTGATGCGCGTTATAAACTCATTTTTTAATCGACATGAATGCCGTTGCAAACATTTATTGATAGTAACGAAAAGGCACACGAAAAACTAATGCGGAATAAGAGAATTTACAGAAGGAATGATATTTGGCCGTGTGCGAAATTCGTTATAACATTATGAATAAAGTTGGGCAATATTTTGAATATTATAAGAATTATATAATGAAAGAGCACTTAAAATTTAAAAATTAACAAAAAAAAATATGGTATTTTGTAGGTACATGTTTTCTAATTAGTAGTAAAAAAAAAAATAGATTACAATTAAAAGTTTTGAAAACATAAATTTGTAACGCAGATTGTATTTTGGTGACAGGCAAAGATTAAATGTGATCCATAACACTGGCCATGTATGCACATGCCATTAAATGTAGACTAAATTAAATTAAATCGTTGTTAAATCGTTATTTAATATTATTTAATATCGGTAATAACCCGAACACCAAACTGAGCGTTTTCAGACTTTCTAAACACTCTGTATACTTGCATTAAGAAAATTTAAAAATAATCTTTGAATGAAATATTTGATCGTGATATTATTATAACCTGAATAAAATTATAAAAGTTGTAAATATTAAAAAAAAAAATAAAAAAAAAAAACAATGCAAAACGGTAGATTTCAAATTATGTTCTTCGATAAAAAGGATAAAAAAAATCATAACATTTTTTATAATAAAATATTATACGAAATAACTTGATAATATTTGGAAATTGCTAGGACAATAATTATTATTGATTTATTAATGGAATATATTATGTTCAGCAAAATTTACCAGAAACTTTTTTAGATTTTTTTTCGAAGAGCACTGGGAAATTATAAAAATATCTTTATAATGTACCACAATATTATGCTTATACATATTTATTACAATATTATCAATATTCGCTTTCAAATCTTTGGGATTGTTTGACGAAATGTTTGATACATTTTTATCTTTTATATATCACATAGATATAATATAAAAACCGAAATTGTTATTAATTTATTCACTGCCGTTGAAAATTCATCGATTTTTTTTTTTTTTTTTTTTATCAAATACCTACTATTATTTTTTTTAGTTTATAAATATTCATACCGAAATAGTTTTCATGGTCGCCTGACACCAAAGAAATAATTTGGACATTGTAACGTTAAAAAAAAAAATTTTTTTCCGTAACTATTGAATCTCACAAAACTATTATTCAAAAAATGTAAAACTTTCAACTTATCGTACTATGACAATATAAAACTATACAAAAATCTAACGGTATCGCATCGTTTCTATTTTTTTTTTCAATCGTTTACAAACTCTAACAATATTTTTATATCTCCAAAAGATTATCTGGATTTTTGATTCACTACACAAAACTCGTAACTCGTTGAGATTACTCTGATCGAACCATATGAAAATCTCATAACACATAACACTATACACGTCTTTGATAAAAATCTCCATTCTATGGTTATGTAATGAAAAATGCACGAAGAAATTTTATTCCTTGAGACAAATATAATAACTATAACACCCAGAGATTTTTGGATTTTACTGTTCAAAATGTTTGAACAGCGTATACAAAAAATTAATTTTATTGCAAATAGATGACATTGTTATTGAACAATAAAACTTAATACTTTGTCAATATAAACATATTAAATAATTGATGTACGTTTTTATGTTACAGTCCCATCGAGAATCAAATCAGTCACATCAGGAGGCAATATCGACACCAAAAAGGACTCTACGATTAAATTGAATTGCGAAGCCGATGGAAATCCTGTTCCCAATATAACATGGACAAGAAAAGTAATATTTATTAACCATATTAATTGTAATGTTTAATTATTTTCAGATTATTATGATTAATCGAATCTGGAATGGGATTACACGGACCAAAGTATAAAATTAATTATTATTATAGAACAACAGAAGAAAACTTAAAACGAGTTACATTTTATGAATTGTAAATATTGGTTTTCCTTTCGTTTATCGTTAATTTATTGTAAACTGACACTTTCAAACAATTATAGTATCGCTAATAAAAATTATCTAAGTTAGTTCATATTAGTTAGTCAATGAGTATACTAAAAAAAAAACGTTAAGTGTAAATAAATAAAAAGAAACGAATTGTACTAATTTTTATATAAGTTTATAACAATAATAAAATTCAATGGAATATAATTTTAAATTTATTATGCAACTGTTGTAACGTTGTAACATTTGCTAATGTTGTGTCAGTTTCAATTCAATCTAAAATATTCAACCTAAATAAAAATTAATGTATTTATGAGATTTCAAAAATCATAGATAAAAATAAAAATAGAAAGAATTGTGGGAATCGCGTTTGAACTAATTTTTTTACTCAATACATCCATGTAAAAATTTATTGGAATCATTCTGCTTTTATATTATTGTATTACAATCTCACATCAATTAACAAACAACTATTGGTAACAAATTTTATTTTGATATTCTAGAATAACGTTCTACCGAACGGCGAAAGAAATGCAACTGGTGATACATACATTATTCAATCGGCCACCCGTCATGATGCTGGTTTGTACATATGCAGCGCTTATAATACCGTTGGACAAGTCGCTGAACAAACCATTACCGTTAATATTTTATGTAAGTATTATTCAAATTTGACTTTAAAATATATTCACCAACCAAACGCATTAATATATAACTTAATAATACACTTTACGAAATAATTTTGGAGTGGATTGGGGAATTTTTGTTGCAATTGATTTGATCATTCTACAGAGACATTAACTAAAACTAAAACGATAAATATTTGCATGGAAATTAATTTCATATAGATGCTTTTTTTCTATTATCATAAATAAGTTATAATACTATAAGTATTAAAAATAAATATAAACAAACCATTCAAGTCATGTATGATATGAATGGGATATTATTTTATCAATATTAACTAAATATTATAACTTTGGTCGCAGGAAAAAAAAGAGTATAAGTCAATATTTGAAAAAATAAATAAAAATATTTTGTCCATGATTAAAGCTTTATATAATATTTTCTAAATGGCATAAGCCAGAGGTAAATATTTTCTATAGTATAGAAGAAAATAATAATGCGTAGGTATGCCGGAATTTGTGATAGAAAATGATTTATTATATTTAAAAGTTATGAATTTAACTTGAGTCCTTTTTTCTACCAGAAACTAAAGTTAAATATAAGTTCTTATTATGTAGGTATACAAGTGTTTTAAATATTACATCAACTTATAAAATAAGTAAAATATTTGTACAAAATAGATCGCCTAACTCAATGTAAGTACAATTAATTGTATAATATTGATAAAAGAAAGTTGGTGAAGAATTTAGCGTTAAATTTTTGAGTATGTAAAATAATACACAAACACACGAATATAAAAATGTATATCATACATATACTTAAGTTTTTTTTTTTTTTTTTTTTTAAGTCATACAATATTGAACACAGTATTTTCATGTTAAATTACTATTGTCTAAGCATATGATAAGGGTTGTACGCATTCCACTCCGGTGCACATTCCCTTCGTGTTCGGCTAAACGAAATCACATTTGTATATTCAAGTTATACGTACGACTTATTCCATTTGGATTAAACTCATATATTTTACTTTTTATAATGGTAACAATTTAAAATAAATTACTGTTCGTGATCAAGAGCACAATCTGTTTAGAAAAATTAATTAATATTAATAATTAATCGCTAAGCTCCAAAGGCTGTGACCGTATGCGCGTGAGTTTAACTTTAATTACAATACGAGAATAGTGGGAAATATTGTATGAATATTTATATATATTTATATATATATATATGCAGACAGAAAAATAATAACCGTCCGTCCTAACGGATTTTGCTTGCATCGTGAAAGTATTTTTAAGTCAAGACCAGCGTGTAGATAAACAGCCAGGAGTGATGGGGTGATTTAATATTACTATCTTTTATTTTCCCTCGCACATAAATACACACGCGTTATTATCGTTATTTGGTTCACAAAAGAATCTAATTCCGAATTCTCGTACAAAAGAGACGCGATTCTGAAATAGAGTTCAATCTATGATAAGTGTTGATTCGTCGAGTCCCATTGTTTCATAAATCCAATTATAAGCTGACAAATTTCGAAGACACTTGAGCAACAAAAATATAATAATACAGATCTAATTATTATCAAGCATGAAAATTATGAATTCGTTTTCAGGTGAAAAAAAATGAAAACTCATAATTATACGGTACATATCTGTTGGGTGTTAGATAATGTATGAATAATTACATTTAAAATTAAATAACACAATATGATATATTATGGTAGGGCGTAACACGTTTCCACCAAAAGTAGACCTTTCCCTTTTCCACCAATACCCGTCTCCACCAAAAGTGTATCTTTCCCTTTTCCTCCAATATCAGTTTCCACCAAATAAGATAAAATACCTGTACTTTTCATGAGTTTTTCGGATTGATGGAAAATATATATAAATATACACACAATACAATAATCAATGTATATTGTACATTTATTGTATTGAATTGTATGTTTAACCGATATCGTACTTGTGCATGTACTTTTATGTCCATTAACCATTATAATATCTAAATAATCAAATACTTTATGAACAAGTGAAGTAGATGGCACAGTTTAAATAATGCATTACAACTGCGTGTATGTTAAAATTAAACGTAAATATTTAAAATTTGTAATTCTATGATGGCTAAAGTTATCGAAAGTAAACGTGGAAATAAAACACTAGTACTAAACTTTACATTTTTTATTGGATCAGTTAACAAATATCAACAAATTATATATATAATTACAATTTACATAACTAAGGTATCGTATATCATAATATATTATTTTTTCATCTTTTCATACCTGACCATTTTTTTAAATAAAATTTAACATTTTTCAACCTATATTGTATATATTATATAATGTCTTTACATTTATTGAATTAATAGTATATGTTAAATAAAGTTATTTCTGTGCTATAGTTTTTAATTTAAGCGTAATATAAAATTGTTTTGGTAAAAAAGTGGTCAATATCTCATTTGATGGAAACGGGCATCGCCCTTATTGTAGAATATTGTCAACGTTTGTACAATATTTAGTATTTATTATAATGTAGAGAATATGTAGGTTTCTTGTAAAAAACATTGATATCAAAAACTAAAAATTACAATTTAATATAACCCTAGTTATTACAAATGTTTGATCATGAATGTCAATAATTATTAAAATATTTATTTTTTTTTAGATCCTCCGGAGATTGAAGTCGAACGTGTTTGGGTTCATTCTGGTGAAGGAAACGAAGCACTACTTGTTTGCATAGTCAACGCTGAACCCCATGCAGAGGTAAATATTTAGATAATGTTTATCTTCCAAAAAAAAAATTATTGATTTACGGCAAGCTATGATTACATGAATTTAAGAGAAAAACAATATTTTTTTTAATTTGATATCTGTTAATACAATAATAGTTATACACGACATAAGTTTAACTTTAAATAAAAGAATGAATGATTTACTATTGAGGTAAAAAAAAAATCTGTTCTCGATGAAAAAAAAAATGGGACATCCCGAATGCGTTCCAATTTAATTTTTACCTTTTTTATAACCCAAGTGCGTCCACAGTCTTATCGACAAATCATAATGAATAGCCTGAGTGTATTCTCGGTCCACAGATATAGGTATTTAACCTATTTAAGATAAAATAATCAAATATTGACGATTTTGACATTCAAATATTGTGGTTCGATAATGGTAATATTGGTGGGAAAATTGCATTTAATTTAAATTTTGATAATAATTTAGCACGACTACAACTTCAAACGTAATCAGTTATATTTTAGTATACATATAATAAAATCAGAGTTTGAAAAATGTCATTGTCGGATAACATGGTAAGCAAATAAAAAAATGTTAAGGTGTATAAATCAAGATTTCATTAAGTATTAAAAAATGATGTAAAACGATGAAATTGTACCAACAAAAATTGTAAATCGTATTTAAAAACAAATGAAAGTGGAGATAGTGTTATAGAGAATTGACTTTTTCAAAATCCCAGTTCATTTAGAGTCTAAAAATGAACAAAACGTACACGTTTATTGTTTGTATATTTTCATTAATTTTATTATTTGAATTAATAATACAACATAATATGCAGTTAAAAGCTCAAATCTGATACATAATATGATTCATATGATCAAAACATACTGTTATTAACAGTTTTTAAAATAATATGTTTCTCTATAATTTTGTTAATATCTATAATTTTTATTATTTATTATAAACATTAGTATTTCAATAGTTGAATATATATTAGTAATTAATGCGTAGAAACAAAGGTACTTTTTCTAGTTATGAATCGAGTGACTAAAATATTTCCCATTATTTTTTAATAATAATTATACAAAAATGACCAATTATTTTAAAACAATTAGGAAGTTTAATAAAAAAAAAATGGCATTATAATAAAAGCAATAAAATAATTTTATCGAAATATAATCAACTATTTTTTCACATAGACATAGAATGATAATGATGATGATAGTATAATTACGGCAATTAAATTTACATAATTCTTAAAAGCTTAATATATTTGTTGATTATTATTATTCATTTTTAATAACAATTTAATATAAGAATTTACTTTGATATTTTTTTACTTCGACGTCAGTCGATGTCATTTCTTTTTCTTAATAAAATAATCATTTCGCTTAGATATATTTTCACTGTTTTTAAACACGCAAAATAGGTGTTTTTCTAGTCCTTAGAAAACTCGAAACTAAGATATGAAAAATAACACAAGTAGTGGGTTCAGTTACAACGGTGCCATACAGTGGCAATTAAACGAAAAATATTTTCGTAACAACATACGGTATCGATTGTCATAAAAATTGCAACCAAGTCGGTTAATAATTCAATAGACAGTATATAATAACACTCTATGTTCCAAATAATTGAATTATAACGAACGTTTCCCGTAAAAACTCCTCACTAAAATTACCAAACACATTATCGTTTTCAGAAACCATAGTAACAGTTCGATTTTCAGTAACAGAATTCGAAGCGTACTCATCCATACTGGCCTGAATATAGTGTTCACTTAACAATCACAATTATATAGTTATGGACGCCACGAACACGGGTTCCCAGAGGCTCGTTAGAAATATTATAAATAGGGAGATTATTCGTTAAAATTTACATTTTTTTTTCATTGCACACCACAATAATTGAAATAAAATGAATGCTTTGAAATATGAAATTCTTAAAACCTAACACTTGCGGTAAAAATAACGTGAACATCACTATTCATAACAATTTCCTAAATCGTAATACAGTTGCCTAATTTATAATTTAGCGAAAACTATTGAACTATTTTCGATTTAATTAAAAAACCGTATATAAGATTAAACATTTAACTTTCGAAAATGTTCTATCAAAGTATCTATAGTTTATATTATATTAATATAGAACATTTGCCGTTAATAATTAATACGTAACTTAAACGCTACACTCGAATTCGTATAACTAATAGTTGGCGCAATAATGTAATCGCCGTATATGCACACAATTTTTTCGGACGCCTTGTTGCCTCCGGCGAGTCGAAAACTTTTGACAAAACTCGCAGGACAATAATTAGAGAATGAACGAACTACTAACTGCGCCTCACCTCAAGGGAATATGTTGACAGCAAGCTGGTGATGCTCGGTGGCGGTATTACTCGGCAGTTCATTGTTACACACAATCTTCAAAACGTCTTCACTCTCGAAAATTGTGAATTGGTCCCTTCCAGCCGCCTTTAAATTACAAATCTCGTCCCTGTAAACCACCACGTGCGTCTAGTGTTTGTTACCGTTGGTCGTTGTACAAGATACAACTTCTCACGGATAAAAAGCCCCAGGAAAAAACGGCAATGCAGATTTACCGTGTGTGAACATTAATTATACACATGCGAAATAACGAAATAGTTGTAAATGTACACATACACACACACACACACACACATTTAGATTATCTGGGAAACTTGACGGCAGTTTCTAAACATGACGTCAAGTATATTCTAGGTCGAAACCATTTTTAACAAATTTTTATACAAAAATAAATATATAAGTATATAGCGTGGGCTAGGGTGTTTTAAAACAAAATAATAGTTAACCATTATCTCATAAACCATGTCCAACCTTGTTCGTAGGTACACGATTCGTGAACAAACAGGCTCATTTATTTCAGTCAATCGTATTACGCGAATAATAACTATTTCAAGCGACGAATTTGATTACAATTGTTGTTTTCAAAGTGTTTTCGTTTATCTCTCGCTTATAAACCTACAACTATAAAGAGATACAATATAATTCGTAATATTATTACTAAATATGTATGCATTAAGTAATAGTACATTACGTAATAAGTCCCAAATGTAAGTGTTTTATTCAATTGAACACACTTATATAATATGCCATGTATTAATGCATCGCGTAAAACTGGATTACAGCTTATAGCTCAAACAATTATAATTTTGAATATTATTTAGTTTCATAAATCAAATGAAAATTGTGAAGTTTGATTATAAATTACGAGCTGAGCAATTAAACAAAAACTCTTACTGATAAATGTCGTCGAGCAACAAACGAGTGACATGCTCTCCGGTATTTAAAACCAACATAAATATAAATATTTACAATCACTATTGTACAATGTTGATTCTAAAATATTCCTTAAGACAAAGTGTCATACAATGTTGATGAAATCGGACAATATTACGTGCAAGAACCACAAATAAACCATTGTACACTTAATTAAATATTTAATTTCAGATGTTCTATATGTAACACAATATAATGATGTATTTTATAAATATTTTATTACAAATGCAGTGTTATGCAAGTTCTAAATTAAATTTTCTTTGATATATGATTTTTAAATAAAACATAATAATAATTTTTTAATATACGTAATATTAATTATATAAATTGAACGCTACGATTAATTTTTCCTAAATTATTTTTTATAAAACGGTTGAAAAAATATTTTATAAACGATTAAATCAATTTTATCGTTATATCAACTTGCGTTTAATATTATGTGATATTTTTGCAGGTATCTTGGTACCGGGATACATTAAAATTGGACACAAACGAACGTCGTATTACGGAAGTAAGGGGAAGCAGACATACCCTTATAGTTAGAAAAGTGCAAGCAAGCGATTTTGGAAATTATAGCTGCGTGGCTGATAACGTCGTTGGAAAGAGTAGAGCTTATGTCGAACTTTCGGGTAAATACAAATACGTATATATAACATACGTCTAAGAGACACAATTGTATTTTAATTCTAGGCGGTTAGGCATACGGAATGAATATCAATTGATATTAATATATTATCATTATCAATTAATGATTCGCCATTATTTCTATTCCAAGTAGCGGAATATAAGCGCTCTGTTCCAAAATCGACCGCTAAACTGTGTGTTGTTTTATTACTCGTAGGAAAACCGAATCCCGTGAAAATAAACAGCAACAAAAATGGTCGGCACCAAAACAATTACAACATATCTTGGTCGGTGGACAGCTACACTCCGATTGAAGAATTTAAATTGTTCTACAGAAAGGTTCCATTGCCCGACGAATCTCCCGCCGATACGCGAACTCAATACCAATGGCCGAAGAAGCCTCCTACTCGAAATGTACGTGAATATGTAAAAAAATAAAAAACCTTAAAACATTTGTTACTATACAACAGTTGACGTTTCAAATCAATACGTTATTGCAATATCATGATCCCGCGATACAATATAATATATTCGATACGAACTAACCTGTGTTTTTCAGGACAACGAGGGATACGGTGCCGTCCCAATTTACGGCTACAACAGCATGAGGAACGAATGGAATGATGTGATCCTTCCCGCTGTTCCCAGCGAACAATTCACCCACCGCATGTCATACAATATCCGTGGCTTGGACACCGCTTCTGAATACGAGGCTAAAGTAATGGCCAAAAACCGATTCGGCTGGACCCCAATGTCCGAAGTATTCAAATTCACAACTTCTGCCACCCCGGAAATCGGTACGAATACGACTTTTTTTTTTTTACATTTTTTCTCATACCAACAACTAATATTTTTTTACCAAAAGTGTTTATAAAAATATTCTACTATTATCTTATCACAACCTGAGTGAACGCCAAAAACATCTACTTTCATAATGAAATAATTGAATAATAATAAAAAAAAAAAAGTAAATGACAACGATACCTGCAGCACGTACGAATAAAATACGGCCATTTAACGGCAAATGAACATCGAATATAAATTCACATACACTCTAATCACAAATTCATTATTACTCTGAAATATGAAACGCCATTTTAGTACATTACTAAGAAATAATGATGAAAATCAATTGAATAGATTAGTTAATAGTTTTTTTCGAAAAGTATGAATCGATTTTAAACCTAACAAACCTAACCTAACTATTGAGTAGACTGAAAAATCATAAAAACGGTTCAAAAAATTTTTGTACTCTATTGAAATATATTATAATCATACTTATAAACGTTCCAGCTCCACTATGAGAAAAATAAAACTTTATCTATATTTCATTAAAAGTTTTTTTTTTGTATGTGTGTTATATTTAGGATAATTTATAATATACAAGTATGAGCAAAATATCACATTTTTAACTGTAAATAAAATCTTTTATGCCAAAAACTAAAATTAACAGTCATAATTATAATATATTTGAAATTACGTTGATTTCCCATTTTAATGGTAAAAATTGTCTACAAAATTTAAGTCACAATTTACCAATGAAGTATAAACACACGGTTAGTTTTACATTATGTTTTCAATATACGTATGAAGTATTCAAATTAAAGTCATCTAGAAAGAGATGCATTTTGCATTTAAATCTTCGCCCTACTTATGACTTATATTTGAAAATATGAAGTTAAAAATAACAATAAATTTAATTAACTGAATATCGATATATTTGTTATTATACTCAAATATTTATATTCGTACATTATTAGGAAATATTTATAACAGAAATCCAATATCATTATTGGTAAGCACGATTACAAAGTCATTAGGAGTATATAATATATATATACTATAAGAACCTAAAATAAATTTAGTTAGTATTATGGTGACATAAAAACAACTTCATATTTAATATAATTAAAATAAAATAATACTTAACAGTAAATATATCATTATTATGCAATGACCATAATTTCATGCGTAGTATCAAAAAAAAAAAGTTAATTTCTGTTTGTTATTAAAGTATTAATTATGTAAACGATAATAAATTTTGTTTTAAACTTTTAAGTAAACTAAATGTTAAAAAAAAAACATTTTCCAATTTTCTCGAAAGCATTTCAAATTTACAGGTAATATTCCCATGACGAATCGACATGTGATACTACTAATCTAAATACAGTACATTATCACAATACTCTTTACAAAAATTTCATTAATTCAATACTAAAAATCTATATGATTCGATTAACTATTAACTATTTGACGTATTTTTTTTGTTTTGTTTTATGAAGTATTAAATACCAAAAAAAAAATTAAAATACTTAGCTTTATAATAAAAAAAAATTTTATTATAAATAATACAGTCATTAAAGTAATTTATGAAATTTTCATTGTAATAATATTTACTTTTATTCCAAAGAAATATAAAGTCATATACACCTGAAACTTAAATAATCCAAAAAGTACCTACGATTGAAAAACAAAAATAAATATTCTCTAATGTTTTTTGGTTCGATACGTCTCATATGTCACAATAAAACCTATATTTTCTAATATTCAACACTTATTTGATTATGAGTCATTTAATGTATGCATAAAATTTGAATTCGAAACATAAAAATACAATTTATAAATTTCATTTTACCGTAAACTTTTTATTTTTATCAATGTAACAATAATTCCAGAAAACTCATTTTTTTTTTTTTTTGCATTTTTAAATAATATAAACACACATTTGTATGTACCTATATGATATGTTTGACAATTGCATGTTGTAAAAGCGTTGTGAATGTGCACTAGTACATTTATTTATTTTGTAATTTATTAGGTAATTTAAAAAAAAAATAATAAAAGAAAATATAATATAGCGTGTTTGCATGAAAGTCTACTAATTGCCTACTTTTATGCAGTATTACACTGGAAAAAAAATTGACGTGTATTAATTGTTTAATTACAAAGCACTATTTGGCCAATAGATTAAAGATAATACCTGACACATGACTTATGACATAACCAAATTTAGATAGTTTAGCATTGCTAATAACAACAACCTAACCCAACCCTTATAATACAACTTTATAATATACACACGTTATTGTTATAATTTTTTTTTTTTTTTTTGTTTTGTTTTTGCATGTTTTTATTTTCATTATTATTATTATTTTTTTTTTTTTTTTTCATTGGCTGGCATGAGTAGATTCAAATCCAAAATATCAAGCAACTTATGGTAGCTCGATGAAATCAAGTGTGTATTTCTTATATTTTTATTTTTTCCATCTAATCACGCCATTTTATAGATTGAACACAAAATTAAATGCATTTAATAATTTTCACGAAATTATTACTAATTTATAAAAAATATAAAAATGTATACGCCCAATATTGATCTAGGTCTTTACATTCTGAATTATTAATAATGATTTATTTATTTTTAGACGCTGAAGCCCGTGATCTTGGCTCCACTTCATCATACAACGGATTCACCAAACGCAGCTACAATATCATCATTTTCGTCATCTTCAACTCCCTGTACTTCTTCTTCCATCCCGTTTTTTAAATCCCTAAATACCAAAACATAAATCCCTTATATAACAGCAGCAGTGGCGTAAATCACGGGGGGAGGGGGACAGACGAACATTTTGAGTGATTCCTTATGTTTTATTTTAATTTACTTTACAGCTTTTTGTCTACATAAAAATAATTAATAATTCGTGTATTTTTTCTTGGAATAATGAAATCAATTTGGGGGGAGGTACGCCACTGCTCTTATACTGCACATGAATATTAAACAATATACGTCTCACCAAATTTAAAAAAATAACACTCAACTCATATGAGACAATTTAAATACTCTTATAAAAACATAATCTTATTCTGGAACAATAAATCTAAAATGTAAAATTACTTTAAAGAAAAAAAACATTTCAATTAAAAATTTTTTCAGCGATATGGTTAAAATATGAGCTATTTTTGTTTAATATTCTGTTCAGTATGAAAATCGGCATTACTACATTATTCAAACAACTATCCTCAATTTAAAATAATAATAGTGTTTACAGATCATTAATTCTAGTCTCATTAGAACCGTTCCCAAGTAGAATTTATAAAATTACACACTTTTCAAAACATTCCGATGGATTTGATGAAGTTATGAAATATAATTTAAAGCCACCTTTAACAGCAACAATTTCTCTGAGCTTTAATACCAAAAATACGTCGATATTCGTGTACGAAGCTGACGAAAGATGAATAAAAAAAAAAAAAATTATAATAGATCCCAATCGCGATTTTCGATTGTTTATTTAGACGATACTGGATTGATTGTTGTTAAAATGAGATCAATACAACAACTCTTCCGTTTCGAGTACATATTATTTATAATAATTAAAACACCATTAAATCATTAGAGAGATACCTAAAGAGACAAGTCAATGATTTAGAAATTTCAAATAGTCCCAAAAAAAAATATTAATTAAATGTAGTTGAAACGTTCTGTGCTTATACAGCTGAAAATCGATTTCGTGTAGTATTTGTATTGGAGTAATTTAAAATTATAAGCACATGAAAAATAAATTCCGACCTCGCGGAAGATCTAGTTGAAAATTAAAATACGTCAACTTATTCAAATTTATATACCTTAAATGTGTACCCAATAAAATAATATGGAACCTAAACACGCACACTTATAGTATTCAGCTTAATTTTAATTAATTAATTAAAATTTTAAAATATTTCAATATAATACACTATGTAGGTATTCCAAAAGGGTTAAGAAAATATTTAAAAAAAATATCATGCCGAAAATTCACATATTTATATATTATATATATATATTAATATATTACATATTTTATTTTATCAATATAATTGATTATACCCATAGGTTAATTAATCTTTAACTATCATCTGTAACACTTTCGAGTGAATGATGTTCTTTTAAATTTCTCGAAGTAACCATAAGCATTTAACAATTTAATACATAAGCTTTGTATTAATTTCTTTCGTAATTTAACTCAGAACTTAGTCTAGGTAATACGAAACGCATCATGTTTTAGTATTTGAACACGTTTCAAATAAAAATGTATCTAAAACACAAAGTATTTCATCCGTTTAGATACAGTGTGCTGTTATGAGTCCCATAAAAACGTCATTATTCGACGTAGTAGTTTTAGGCGAAAATTTAATATGATTACTAAACTGTTTTCACTTCAAAACATAATTATTACATTTAAAACAATAGCTTAAATATTTTATTTATTTTCTAAGCTATTACTTCGATTAAATTATCCCGGACAATTTGTCTTGATTTAATTAACGTTATTATTAACGGAATATCTATATAACCATTTTGTGTATTTAAATTAGTTTTAAGAAATTGCACTTCGTGAACGGTATAATACATGTATTGTTCACGGATATACTATATAATATACATTTATATGTACGAATGATCATCATTATCACATTAAGTATTATAATAGAATTACTGCAGTATAATACAGTTATTAGTTTAATCTATATATATATATATATATATATATAGAGCTTTAAGTATTTTTTAAATATGTGTAAGTAAATTATTATTGTATCCGAATAAATATAATGATTATGAATTGTGAAGATCTGTAATACCTATAAATTGGTAGACACTGTGCTATGATATGACTAAACACATAAATACGATTAACCAAAAATAGTATTGTAAAAAACTAAAAAATGTGTTAAAACGGCAAAATATCAAAACAAACGAATTCCTAATAGAACGGGAATAATACGTTCCGCGTCGGATTTAATGAGTCATTATTGTAGTACACGATTAACGTCATTGATTAACATTTTCGACGACTTTGAGTAATATGAATAAATTGTAACTATTGTTCATATACAACGCATGCAATTTGAAGTTGGTAAAAGTACGACATTTGAATTGAGGAAAAAATAACGATTTTACATAAATCACATATAAACCTGACTTAATGTATCTACCAAGGATCGCATGAACAGCGGCTGTCATTGATCATTATTCGATAACAATGACTTTAAACGCCCGTGATGAAATACGTGATTTTAGAAATGTCCGGAGGGGATTTTGTGTATTATTTATTAAAAGCTTAACATATTGGGCTACAATAGTAGGTACTACCTTAAATTAGACTATACTTAAAGGATATTTAAGTTGTTAAACAATTTAATAAGTCATTAATATTATATTTTACGATTATTTCATAACTTACTTAATCAGTTTTAAAATATAATTAGCGTGTTGATGTTTTAAATGTTAAATTATACAAATATTATAGGAGTTGATTATTAAAAACATTATTATTATAAATGTTATCCTTATTATTAAACAATATATTAAAATCTAATACATATTAATTAAATAATAATAACTATATAATCAGGATCAATACTCGTATGCAAATAAAATAAACCTAATAATTCACTACGATGTACCTACCTATAATGTCTTGAATTCGGTCGGTTGAATATTTCATTAAGTACTTACCAATTTGAAAATCAAGGCAAATTTTATTTCTACAGCATTCTGAATTATTAATACTAAAACAACAAAAATATAAAACACTATTGCAAAGTAAACAACAATTTATATACCAATCAAATATTATTGTGGCCTTAAGTAATAATGAAAAATTATGAAAATGTACAAGACCATAATAATATAAGAATAATAATTATAACAATTACATATAATAATAGATTACAGTACCCACCTATGTTTTTTTCCTATTCTATAATCCACTTCCCCCTTCTCTTTAAGAATCTTGAACAACCATAACATGCTACTTGAATTATTTGTAGTTATGTAATTTTTATTTAATTTAATATTTTTAGGTAAACTTACTTTAAATAATGAAAATACTTTTTTGTTTGTTATTCATGTGTACTTGACTTTTTTTTTATCATTTAAATTTACGATCCCCTTGGAATATAATTATAAAATTAAGATTTCGAATATTTTTTTTTTATCTATGTGTAAAGACTTTTTGTTATTAATGTAATAATTTTTATTGCTACTTCTATTATTATTATTATTATTATTATTATTATGATCATTATTATATATTTTTTTTTTATTAATTGATAAGAATACTTAGTGGTAGTTCGATTAAATAGAAGTAGGGAATGTGTAAATAATAGTTACCTACCTACTTAGTAGTAAATATTAATTTTTAAGACTAATTCAACTATAGTCCTTAGCCTATATTATAATATAATTGATGAAATATTATTGAATAAATCAGAGTGAATAAAATAATAGTTTATGTGTCTTATTTATTGAATTCATAATTGTTGGTGTTATTTAGTGTTATTAATTCTTCGCAATATCATTATCTTACCAAGTCATCAACAGTTTTGTTACACACATAAATAAACAAAAAAAACGTCACATCATACGATTAAGTCTATGCTTACCGGTATTCTAGTATATTACCAGGCAATGGCGACACGAAATTAATTTCCCAATAAATCAGTATCGAATACCCACCCCATGTGAAAAATTTTAGATTCAGAGTGAAACGTTTAATACTGATGTTTATTTTATTATATTACACTATTTCGTATATGATACTTGTCCAAACGTTTATTGCGATACCTTCAAACGTCTACTGTTTCTTTTTTTTTTTTTTATTTCCTATGCTATATACGAATTGAAATCAATAATTATTACTATTCAACTATATTTGATGGTACATAAATATTAAAATCAACGGGTTCAAACAATAATAATATTTTAAGTCGAATGTGCAAATTATGTATTAAACTTTTCTAGCGCACAACATTACCTACCCACCTTGTTTTAGTCGTGAAACAACCACTTCAATAGAACTCGTATCGCGTTGCCACTGTTGCCAGGTGTTCGTGTTACTGCGGTATAATATTGGTAACGTACGAAATATAATTTAAACCCGTAGGTAACGCTTATAATGCGTAACGTGTATTTATTATATAACGATTTTTTGTTGATCGTGAAGATGATATAAAAAACAAAATGTATTCTTTAACCTAATACCTAATAAAGGTATTAAAAAATGTATACTCTAAGAATCAATAAAAAAATTGTACAGAATCACTTTTATCTATTAAATTCTAATAATGGCGCAGGCCCGTAGCCAAATTTTAGGGGAGACATTAGAAAAAACAGTATAGTGCATAACATACCACTACCAGGGCCGGTGCTAAAAGTATTGGCGTCTTGGGCAATATTTTGGTCATCAATTTCATCATCTCATTCATTATTAGAATAATTTAAGTTAATTAATTTAAGTTTTTTTGCAGATAAGAATTCAGTTTGAAGTATTAAACTATCAATTTTAAAATGACTATAATAATTAAGGAAAAACAATAAATAGGGACTTTTGAAATTCAAATAATCAGGACTGGAAGATAAGAAAAATACTACAAGTAAAAATGATTTCATTGCTAGAATTGATGAAACGATGGTTAAGTTCATTCAGAAATCTAATATTCTTTTAAAATGCTCAAGTGTCCATTTATAGTTTATACCAATTGGCGATTCCAAATATTGTGGCAATAAATAATTATCTAGTACACAGTATTTTCAAAGTGCAAATGCCCACCTTACCACCTAACCGGTCAGTCGCGGGCCGTGTGTACTATTTAAATGCATCGTGTTGGTTAAACAGACGGCGGCCTACCGCGGCGGACTAGTACGGTCCGCTGCGGACAAACGAGTTGTATTTCTTCACAAAGTTCGCGGCGGACTCGGATAAAATGTGTATACATTGTACATAATAAAAACAATGTATTATATATAGATAGTATAATAATAACATTATACATTATAATAATAACTTAATAATAACTTTTAATAATTTTACTATAATATACTAGTCAAGTGTAACCATTATTAGAATCAAAATTCTTAGAAACCTCCAGTTAAACTAATAGGTAGTAAATTCTGGAAAATGTTATCAACGATATTAATAACAACATCAAAATGACTTGTTTCGATACAAGAAATGATGAAAATATATAATATTGTGTATGAATTGAATTAAGCTGCGAATTGAAATGAAGTACTTCATTTAAAACTGTGCACCGAAAAAGAACGATATGGCTGATGAAACGGAACGATTGATTGATCTCGCGCGGGAATGCGTTTGTTTGCATGGTATAAGCCATCCAGATTATGTAGATGCAGTTAAAAGCCATTTCCTTTTTTTTTTCTTCTTGCTTGACCTAAGGATTAAGTGAAAAATTAAAAAATAAAAAATCACCAGCAGTACACTTCAGTGGCGGATCTAGGATTTTATCATGGGGGGAGGGGGATATAAAATATTTTCGTACATAATATGTACAGTAGGGTGGTCCTTATATATAGGCGAAGAAAAAATAATTAAATAATTCTTTTCAAGCACCCTTCCATTTTGTTCATTAGTATAAGAAAATAATTTAAGTTAAATTTGGTGATGATATCTCACCCCCTTCACGTGCCGCAGAAGGGTTGAAAAATGACTGATGAGGGTAGATTTTCTGTTTTTCGAATTCAAACCGAAAAATATTAAACCCACATAAAAATAAATAGAAACTTAATTGTAGAACTTTTTATTACCTATAAAAAGTGTTCTTACAAAATTTCTTGTAAATCCTTCATTTTCCTATAATCTGTACATTGTACAGGTGTTATAAGCTTTATTCTACTAAATTTACAAAATAAAATTTTATTTTATTGATGATTGTGCCATTACTCCGTGGTTGTATCCCGGGTCATGATATAAGTACGAGGTGTACATCCGTAACCCGATATGAAGTTAAATACTAATATATACTAGTGTATCCTTCTTGGTTACGAAATAATAAAAAAATAGTTTTTATTTAAATTGTGCTTGCAATAATTGAATTGGTTGCGAAAACTTTTTTTTTAACTCTCGGCCCACGGGGGGGGGGGAGGATTTATCCGGACCTTAACGGTTTGTCCGCAGTCAGTTACCAGTCACCAGTCGGCCGTCGACGTACACCGAAAACCGTAGTGAACGCTGTTAAAAAAACAGCTCTTGTGCGGTCCACACACCGGTGATTGTGCACATCCATTGCTAGTGAATGTTGACCACGCTTGAACCGCGATACGCGTTATAATATCATTTCGAAAATATTCAGACGTTATTGCCATATCGGAATGTTACAAAAATTATTTCGTACATTTTTCTCCCCGTGTCCGAGACATACGCTCGTCTATTGTTACCGTAATCGCTCGGGATACTAATATCAATTTTTAACAATCCGATTTTCATTCGTACAACTGCTGCGTCCGTATTCGTTAGTATTGACGCGTACACCAGACCTAGCGCAACGGTGTACCTGTCGTAATTCTTGATTTTGATTTCGACTAAAAATAATATAATTAATCACAGGAATGCAAAACACCAAATACATTTTCTATGTAAAGTTAAATTAACTTTTGACCGAGAATAGGGAAGAAATATTGTCTCGAAAATCGCTATAGACGTATAAGAAAAGTTATTATCTTAAAGAAAAAAATTTCACAGTTCACCACAATGAAGTAAATAAACTAAATTCAATCAACCAATCTAAATCTATTGTTTAAATGTCCATTTGTATCTCTAATCAATTATTAATCGTAAACAATTGTAACTATATGATTTTAGTTTTTTATTTTTAATGTCAACGTTCACCAGAATAACTAATGCACATGTCAACAATTACCAGTAAATGTCCGCAATGTGAGTAAAAATAGACAACATTCATCAAAATTATTGGTAAAGGTCGACAACCAACGGCGATTGTCAATACTTACTCACCGCTAAGCGGTCATACACCTCAACGTACATATAAATATTATGTACCTAAATTAAATATACAATATTACAATAATACATAGTAGCCGTCGGTAGGTAACACATAATTAGTGATAATAATTGAATTAATGTGTTTAATCTGAACTTTAAAGATATTCATAAGTAGGTATATAGTACAAATAATTAAATAAAATGTATAATACTTTCAACGTCATATTGCACGACAGTGATAAATTATATTTTCATAAGAATCTGTCGACAGCATGAAGTCAGTTGATTTATATTATATTCTTTTGCATGGAGAATTTTACAATTCACAGGTTGGCAAAGCTATCTTTTATGTTACATTTTACTGTACTTTAAATGGTTTAATATACATTTTTTTATTTTACCATCAAATATAAAAAAACCCATTCAAATATAATTTGTTAAGTATTACCTATTGTAACTCGTTAATTACATATAAAAATGAATATTTTACTTACTGATCAGCTTAAAATGTATACTCTACGTTTTGTAAAATTACTATTAATTTATATATATATATATATATATATATTTATAACTTTCAAATATTTTATACAAATGATAATGAAAAGTATTTTTTCAACAATAATTCATTACATAGTTGTACATCTGTATAAATTAAAACGTACACAATACTTGCTTAACTTCCATAAATGAAAAGAAAAAAAAAGAACATATTATTTTCTATAATTAAATACAAAATATATCCCATTATAAACAGTTTTCAGGATGGTTAATTGGTTATACGAACATGACAATGCATACAAATATGAGTAAAAGAAAGGACACAACAATGAACTTCAATTTCATTTACACTATACATATTATAGAATTTTATACAAATATTTATTTATATTATAACAATAGTATAAGGAGATACACACATAATAATGAAGAACATTTATAGAAATCTATGTACGCAAAAAAAACAAATAATTTAAATTAACTTGGCAACTTCTCCAATGTATAATTTTGTATTGAATCAATACATTCATATTTAATAAAAATAATATACATTAGTTAATTTAATAACTTAATTTTAAACAATTTAACAAATTGAAAATAACAATAATTAATGATAAAAAAAATATCAATTATATCTTATAATTAACAATTAAGAATTGTGCTAAATTACAATAAATCACTATATAATTGTTAGCTTAAGGTTGAATTTCATGAGTTAGTTTTCTTTTTATAATTAACATTGAGGTCTATATAAATTAAATTAAGTGTTTATGCATACAATAATAGTAAATTAATTAATGATTTTCAATAATTGGTAATTTTTCACTATTTAAAATGAGGAGTACAAATATGAAAGTACAATGAATAATATTTACATAACCTAAAAAGAGTACACGTAAACAGTAATTCTTATCCCAAAATACATAATTTATAGTTAATGACATATCGTAGCTAAAAAAAAATAGGAATATAAACATTTCTCATTACTGTTAATATATTTTATGAATATAATATGAATTAAAAATAATACATAAATGTTTATTATGAAACATAAGATTATGTAGATTATATCAAAGATTAAAAATATATTAAAATATACATATCATTTTTTTTTTCCTCATCGAATGATGTAATTTAAATTATTATCACTATGCGCAAGTCTTTATTTTAATTTTGTAAGTAGTCTCTGGATGGGTAAGATCACAGTATTATTTCGTTTTTGAAACTTCTTGTAAGTGTCTTGTATGGTAACACGATTATATTTAATAACACTACTTCAGACTCAACATTGACTCCACAACCTATAGAAATAATAAAAATAAAATATACATAGTAATGTTATGTAGTAATATATATTATTGTATATATAAATAAAATAATCAAAAAAATACCTACCAAGTATGGTTATAGAAGGATTTAGACGACCATCTAAGGCATTGAATAAAGGTAACTGTGGTGTCATTTTGGCATTAGCAACATTAGGGTTAGGGTCTGAGCACGCAGCACTACCTTCAATGTGACACCAGGCACCTACTTTGGCTTTTCTACCAACAATACTATGCATTACCTGTGGACATAAATCATATAATTTTGATTAAACTCATATTCCAGAAATTCGAAAACTAAGTGAATGGAATAATAAAATAAGGTAGAAATATCTGAAACAATGATTCAATAAATATTAATTGAGCTAATGATTAGTTAAGGGAGAAAGTTTTGTTACCAGACTATGCTGACCAATGATTGCATCCTGCAGAATAATGGATTCCTTAATACGTACACCTTGACCAATACATGCTCCTTCTCCAATACTTACATTTGGACCCAACTATAAAAAGAAATAATGATATTCATAAATCATATTCATACCAATTAACTATTGTATTTGTAAATATATCATTAACAGTAAGCTATTACTAATATATAATTTTTATATTTCTTATCAAAAATAACAAATGTAACAATTCAAAAAAAAATTTTTTTTTGAAATAATATTGATAAAAAACAATAAATAAATAACAAAATGTAACTAACCAATGCTGTTGGATGTACTTTAGCTGATGGATGAACATATACAAATCCAATTTTTGAATAACATCCTTTTACATGTAAGCGCTCATTAGGAGGACAAATCAATTCTCCATCTAAAATAGGCTGACGTGGTGCACGCAACATTAAGTAATGACGGTTTGCATAAATTGCAGCACCTGCTGTCTTCAACTGGGACCACCAGTTATGTGTAACCGCTGCCAAAGCTACACCACCACCAACAGCTTTTCCTTTTAATTTACTATTTCCATTACTATTAATACAACCACTCTTGGATTCTCCTGCCAGCCTGCGCAACACATCTTGTTCCATCCATATAACCACAGGAGTTGCTAATCGTTCTTCAACAGACTTTTGTGTTTCTTGTGAGATTTCGGTATTACTATGAAAAAATAAATTTATGCATCAAGACAATTTCAAATAACATTTAAACTACATATACCTGATAATGGTTTGTTGTTGATTACCATTACCATTAGACATTTCTAAATGAATATCTGCCATAGTATCAAATATCTGAGGAGAACACAAATAAACACCGCCGTTTACTGTATTAGAAACAAATGTGGATGGCTTTTCCACATAATGTTGAATAACATTGGTATTTTTATTAACTACCATGCAACCTATTATAAATAAACATAATAACATAATGGCAATAACAAATGAATATACTATTTTTGTGTATATAAAATGTATTATAAGTATACACTATTTAGTACATACCGTAGTGTACCGATTGCTGACGAGTAGTTTCAGTTGCCATAACTGTAATGAGTACTGGTTGGTTTAGTTGACATTGATTATTAAAGTGCATATCAAGCATCTCATCTAAAGGAAAGTCAGCACAAACGTCACCATTCATTACGAAAAATGCTTGGACGTCCTCAATACCATTTTCATCACTCAGTGGAGCAAGGATTGTGTCACGAAAGTGGTACAAGCCTCCAGCTGTGCCCAGAGCATGAGGTTCGCGAAGGTATCTACAATCAATACAATTATTACACTATTAATATGGAAATTGAAATACTTAATTAAAATAATACCTTATTCGAATTGAAGGATAGCTCTGAGTCGCTGCAAGTAAAAAATCTGCAAGCTCATCATCACCATAATATCCCAATAAAAGAACTTCGGCAACATAATATTTGCTACTATTATTACTATCACATTTTTCAGGAACAGAACACCGCTTTTGACCCAATTTGTAGCATGCATCTATGTGATGCTGTACAACAGGTAGTCCAGCCACAGGGAAAAGCGGTTTAGGTACATCTAATGAAAGAGGCCGGAATCGAGTACCTTTCAAAAATCAAAGATATAAATACGAAAATAATATCCTTAAGTAATTAACCAATGTGTAGGTATGTTAAGATTTAGTGTAAGCGTTACCTTTGGACGGACCTCCGATCAATATGACAGCTTTCAACATGATTGCCGTTCGTAATGTGTACGAGACGATTGCTTTTTTTTCAGGTGAAACAATTGTTTACCAACAACAAACCGATTGACTTATGATTGTAACAAACCTCAGCAAACACAACATACAAGTGGTACCGTGCCACGAACACAGCTCCAAGCAATCGCAGATGAACACCAAGAGCTCTGTACCACCAGTTATCACCACCACCGCCGGTAGTAATACTGCACAGAAAAGTGGGAAAATAACCGAAAACGTTGAGCCATAAACAACAAGTGTTATTATTAATTTACAACAGTAATTAACAAGTATTATTAATTTACAAAATTACGACGTGCAAAGCGTTAAACATTGCGTCAATACGAACACCGACAGGCATAAAAACCTTTGGTTTGGGATGGACACGATCGCCACGGTGTGTTATCAATAATATAATGGTGGGCCACAAGTGCTCTCTCATCGAGGTGACACGGTTGGTAATTATGTTCTGGCACCGTGCCTCCATCGTGTTTACCTCCAAAGTCGCAGCGGCAAACCCTTTCTCGCTCTCTCGTCCCGACCGTCTTACGTAAGGCCGTATTTAAGGGGTGGTTCGGGTAGTTAATAGCCCTACCTGAAATATTTAAGAAGGCGGCAATATTTTTACGGTAATTCTAAATAAAACCTAATCGATGTTTTGTTATTCTCAATGGAAAATTATTATTGAATAAATTAAATTACATAAAAAATAAATGTTAAACTATAAAATCATTTATATTATTTAGTAGCGTACAAAAGCGTAAATCTATTTAAGATTAATTTATTGAGATTTAGGTATTGGCTTAATCTTGATTTGTACAGGGATGGGACATTCAAACTGAAAGGTACTAAATTATTTAGGTGTACCACCATCAGTCTTATAAAAGACAATTTTCTGTAACTTTATTTATACAATTATAACTCGGTTATTATTTTAGATTTCATATTAATTACAAATATTGTGTAATTGTGTACTGAAATGGGGAAAAGCGAGTTGCCAGCGGTTTTTAATAAATAGTTAGAGACACTTATTTTGGTTATGCGATTCAGAGAATAGGGGCGACAACATTTCATTGCTCCGCGGGAAGAAAAGTCATAAATACGGCCATGGTTTTACGGGAAACACTTCAAATGTGCCGTCCGTAAGTTTTCGCTCTCTTATAAGTGACACCACAAACTTCGTGAACTTGCGACCATCGTTCCATGATATAATAATGATATAATAAGTTTATTATATCATATATAAACCATTCAATTCCTAATTCATAATCCAATGTCATATAATATTAAACTATCGATAAGTACAGGTAGGATTGTTTAAGTAATTAGATTCAAATCAAACATCAAAATTTCTTTATAAATAAATTTTACCTAAATTTAATAATTTGTATATCTTACTGATTCCGAGATTAATATAAAATGGAAACACAACGCCAACACATTTTCAAAAATAAGCCATTTTATAAGGAGTTCCACCAGTGTAACAAATGCAGTAAGAGGAAAATATGGATACCAATTTTAAAATGTTCACGCTGCAAGATTTACTGCCATCGAACGTGCGTACAGCAGAACAACAACACATGTAGCACGTCAACAGATCTCGTCGAATCGACGGCACTGGTAAATATTTATAGTATATAGGAGGGGTGCCCCCTAGGTTCGGGCCCATAGTGAAATTTCAGATTCAATTAAAACATTTTTATTCGCATGGTACAAAATTGTTTAATTTCACGGTTTGGGCACACGTTGTCCCGCTACAGATAAATAGATAATGGCTTGATGAACACGGACTTCCCTCGAAACTTCTGCCCAACATGTACACCTTTGAAACACACGAATCCAATCGAGAGTTGTTCTGATTCAAAGATCACATCATACAACGAGACTATAAATGAGGAATCGGTGCCTAACTTAACCGAAACAGACGAAGGCCATAAAGAAGACGGCATTGTTTACAAGAATGACGATATTACCAAGGAAAATAAATATAAATAGCCATCAGTCTTTTTGATATAAAGTGTGTTTCATAAAGTGAGTAATTTTTTAAATGCTTGGGAATTTTTTGTTTGAAGATTGTCAACCCTGTTTTAATTATATTTGTCATATATTATCTTCCTGATTAGTAGTTAATTTGTTATTATATATTAAGACATCGATAATTACCTACCAACAAAACACAGATAATATTCTCACCTCAAAGTTTTGCTATAGGTCAGTTTACTTTAATATTAAAGCGACCCCTAATATTAAAACACCCTATATTTTAACTAATAAACGCAAATATGTTATATTGTATGTGGTCAAACAGAGAAATGCGTCTTAAATATTGTAAATTAATTTAATTAATATTGGTTTGACGTTCTTTTAAATTATTGTATCCAACAATTCAAAATAGTCTTTTAATTATTTAACTGCCCATCTACCTGATTAAAATTTAAAACATTATTTCTAAGATAATTTGTTTTTCAGCTATAGTAAAAAAAAAATGAAAACTGTAGAAAGATAAAAAAATTTGTTCAAAAATAATAAAATATATTACCGTATGAAATAACTAACCTTTTAAAAAGTATTTTACCCAAGTCTGGTAAATTGAAACGTTTCATGTTCTTTGTTTATCATCATAACATCATTATTCATTACTAAACCTTACATGTATTGTTCCAAAAAAAATATTTTATTGATAGTGTATCGTCCATAAATATTAAATATTTAAATATATAGATAACCATAATTTTTTAAATAGTCGGCAAATTTAATCAGTGGCAACCTTTTCAAAAGTTGAAATGACGCCCCTGTCTACTATACAAAAATAGCATTGATTTTAGAACATCTAAAAGGTTCATGAGGATCTATCTCCTGTATTTTCCGTGGGTAGGCCTCCTCTAGAGACGCCAATTTTTTTTTGCACCAGGGCGCATAATGTCTAAATACGGCACTGGCTGTAAGTGCAATATGTTTAGTAGTATTAAACTCATGATAGTAAATGATGTATACGCATTTCTATACATACAATGTCGAATGTCACCGCCAACAGTGTGTCTTCAATCTTGTTTAAACGTACATTCGTTTATAACTTAGTGTTAAGAGAAAACTGTACATTTATTTAAGCGACTTACAATAATTACAAATGACAATAATTAACTCTTCTCGGAACGACATCATATTACGCACGCAAATCAAGAAATTGCCTATATGTGACCCTATGAAACTTAACGTACTAAAATGTTCCGTTTCCGTGCTGATTATCTCGATGCGATTAAGAATTCTGAAAACATTTATCTTTGTCAAGAAGTTCACAAACACAATTTCAAATATTTTTACGATTATTTTTATCATTAATATTATATTATTATAAACAATTAATATTTTATATTCTCGATCATAAATCATTATTTAAAAATATCTACAATCTACATATAACCTACTAGTATTAAACTGGAACAACTAATCGGCTCACTGGCATATTTAATATAATACATATTATTTGTAATTAGTAGCGTATTCATATTCAGGCACTGTAGGCACGTGCCTGCAGCAACACATTTTGAGGGACGACCAATTGTTGAAGGGTATAACCTTCGTTTTACGGTATTACATGTTATTATATTTATATACATTTTAGGTTTTCTGTTATAATAAAATATATTTTATAAACTCCTACATAAAAAAATAGTATACAATAGCTTATCCTATCAACAGTTAACAAGATATATATTTTCATAATTTCTTATCGCCGTCTATATATGGTATATAAGATTCGGGAATGTTTATGAAAAAAATCGTAATCGATGATTTTAATAAATAAAATATCTAACAATAAAGAACTGTTCTGAATTCCGTCTCTGTTCACGTTGCTGTGTGTGTAAATCGTTTTTGTACGTAAATCGTTTTCTTTTATTTTATTTACTAACTTATAGTGATTTATTGATTATTTTTACTATTCTTTTTTTTTTTTTTTTTATGAAGATCAATAGAAAACGGTTAAGTGGTGATTAATGTAAAACAAATTACCAGACTGAAGTGTGATAATTCGCAAAATATTTTAAATCAAAAACAAATTGATTAATTTAATTTTATTTTATTTTTAAATAAAGCTTCTACTGCTTGTAGTAGTTAAAGTATTGTATTGACTACAAGTGATGGTCTTAAGTGACTAATTCCCACAGACTTAGTAGTATTGGGGGACTAATTTAGTTATTCTACGTGGTATAATTAGTAATCTGATTAATATGTTATTCGACTATCTATGATTAACTCAAAATTATAACAAATTAAACACTTTGGCATTTTTATCAATAAAGAATGACATGTTAAAATAATTTAATTTTGATGATTTTATCAACACTTTTGTACTACAAAATGTCGACGTAGATTGATATACTTAATAATTGACATATCCGAGTCTGAAGAATTTATTTTATGTAGTTATTAATTATTAATAAAAAAATGTTAACTCTAAATTATGTTTTATTATTTAAATACAATTTTTCACTTAATTAATGTATATTTTATAGTAAATAAATGATTAACTTAATCTAATATTTTAGTTATTAAGGGTGGCATTTATTAACAAGTCTACACGCGGAGGGGGGGGGGGACCCGTTTGGATTAGGAACGTTAGGACCACTAATAAAACTGCAATCCATATGGACCAGAATTTTATGGAGTCGTTTGGACCAATTTTATATTGATAAAATATTCTACAATAAGATAACTTTTTCAATAACAGTACGACTAACAAATTATACACGAATATAATCTATTATATAATCGATTCATTTAATCAATTGATAGTTGAACTTATGGCTACATTAGCAAAGGTTGGATCAGATCGCCGTTTAAGTACGAGAAAAACGACCATTTCAGTTGCTACATAATAAACTCAAATCGTGTGATGGATTTACTAATAAAAAATGTTTTAGAAACAAAACGTATTGTATTAAACAATACATGTATAAAAGTCAACAATTTTAAATTCCGTAAGTCTAATGTTTTAAAGAATCGTAATATTCGTTTTCGGTGTAAAAATCGTTTGTGTAACGTAACTATTATAGTTAATGATAAGCTAAATTAAATAATTGAAACCAAAAATTGTCCTCAAAATCATACAGCTCTGAAAGATAGTTCGATCAAATTAAACCACAGAACAGCTGTAAGACGTAAAGGCTAAGAAGATCTACATACCAGATCAAACAAAATTATTTTTAAAGAAATACGTAAAAGTGGTTTATTTGACAATGATATTGAATATTCTAATTTAAAGTTAATGCGTGAATCATTATATAGTGCCCATAAAAGATAATTCCCGATGTTACCACAAACATTAGAAGATACAATTGATGAACTTTCCGAAGAAGACAATATTGAATTTAACAATGAACAATTTGGTGCCAGGGTCAA